TATATGTCTTTATATATATATATATATACATATTCATGCATGAAAAATTTTTTACTTAATTAATTGCGCAATTATAATAATAATATCATATTTTTTTTAGTTGATATGAATTCATAGGCGGATCCTTAGTTTGCAGCAATATAAAAGAGGAGGATTTTTCAGGAGATTTACAATTTGATGACTATATGTTTAAATAAAGCAATTTCAATTCAAAGTTCAAATGAAAAATTTTAAATAAGGTTTTAGCAGTTAGAAATTTTAAATTTGTTTCAAGCAATCGTACCGGTTGGACTAATTGCCAATTAAATTCGGAGTTTGAAGAGTGCTCATAGTAAGAGGTCGCCCTTTAAATTTTAAATGATACGCACGTGCGCATTGTGTAAATTGGTGTAAATCGTGAGTCGATAGAAATTGGATTGCCGCGTCGCATCTCGCGCCACCTTGCGTCGATTGAGCCAGTCAATCCATCCAACATGGTGCTGGAAAGTACGATGATATGGTAAGTCTAACGTTTTATGAGAAATTGTAATTTTTAACATCGTTCCTCGATGATATTTCTTATAAATTTGCGAGGTTCATTCGTTCCATGAATGATATATTTTCGCTGTGACTTAATTTAACACGTTCGACCGTGTTTGCAATTTTAAGGTTAGCGTAGTGACAATGACGTTGACAATCTTAGACTCCAAGTGCCTCTGAAATGTCCGCGTTCGTTTATAAATATCGTATATGCTCGAACTAAAGCCTCGTGATTTCAATGTTTTGCAGCGTTGATAATAGCGATTATATGAGAAATGGAGATTTCGTACCTACCCGGCTACAGGCACAGCAAGATGCCGTCAACTTGGTGTGTCATTCCAAGACTCGCTCGAATCCAGAAAACAACGTTGGCCTCATAACTCTCGCTAAGTACGCCGAGTAGTGATTCAGATATCTGCGATTATTACAAATATAAAAGTTTATATGTATGGTGAGGTAAATACGAACATAAATATCTTTGTCTTTCTAGTGTGGAAGTACTGGCGACGCTAACAAGCGATGTTGGCAGAATACTGTCCAAACTTCACCAGGTTCAACCAAATGGAAAGTTAGCTCTCATCACAGGCATCAGAATCGCCCATGTACATGTTATTTAGTCCAAGATCTGTTCTTTTTTTGAATTATTTTCTAGGAATCGATTGTATATCATGAAACGAGATGAACATTACAAAAGTGAACAAGTTCACTAAGTGCTAATAAAATTGTAAAATTCTAGTAAATTTGTTCACTGTAATTTTCACTTCATGATTGACTTTCTCAACTGTTTGAGTACTGCAACAGTGTATACTGTTGCAATAAGTTGGAATGAAATAAATCTAGTTTGTTTTATTCTAACTTATTAAACCAATTGGAAATATTCTTTGAAAAACAGATCTTCAGTTTTACAGTTAAGTCTACAGTCAAACATGTACTAAAGATTGTAAAACTTACAGTTAGCATTGAAACATCGACAAGGCAAAAATCATAAAATGCGCATCGTTGCATTTATCGGAAGTCCAATAGACATCGATGAGAAGGAATTAGTCAAGTTAGCGAAACGTCTGAAAAAGGAGAAAGTGAACGTTGATGTTATAAGTTTTGGCGAAGAGAGCATCAATAATGATGTACTAACTGCCTTTGTTAATGCACTGAATGGCAAGGATGGCACGGGAAGTCATCTCGTCACTGTTCCACCAGGCCCGCATTTATCAGACGCCCTGATCTCTTCTCCTATAATTCAAGGTGAAGATGGAATGGGTGCAGCCGGCATGAGTGGTGCCGCGTTCGAGTTCGGAGTCGATCCAAATGAAGATCCCGAGCTGGCGTTGGTCAGTTGGTCTGCGTTTTACTGAGAATTTCTTTTCTCTCATGTGATTAGTTAATTTTGTATGCTTCATATGATTCAGGCTTTGCGCGTTTCTATGGAGGAGCAACGGCAACGTCAGGAAGACGAGGCACGTCGTGCGCAGGCTAACGAGACTGCCGCAAATAAACAACCGGAAACTATAAAGGAAGCTCCGAATGAAGAAGCTATGTTAAAACGTGCTCTCGCCATGTCCCTTGAAGGTGCAGATGATTCTACTGCCGCTAGTGATAATACTGCTCCAAGCAGAAGCAATGTGCCGGACTTCACTAACATGACAGAAGAAGAACAAATTGCTTTTGCTATGCAAATGTCCATGCAAGATCAGCGTAAGTTCCTAACAGATAATTTAATGTATAATTAATGATACAGGGTGAATCACAGTTGAACCAGTTTTTTACTCTATGAAAAAATTATCAATTACACACCTAATTATTGATTTAACGATACAGATCGGATGCGTGGATAAGATATTAGAAATGTCTTTTTCTTTGTGCGCCCAGCAATTTGCACGATGTATCCACGCATCTGATCTGTATCACTAAGTCGATAATTAGATGTGAGGTCGATAATTTTTTCATACGGTAAAAAACTGGTTCAATTACTCTGATTCATCCTGTATATAATATATTGACTACACTCATATATTACCAATAATCAGGTTTAATAACATCCGTACTTATTAACTCTTAACATAAAATATCATACAAACTAGTTGAATCTGATTTATGATACTAGTTGTTAATTAAAACTCGGATGTTTAATAGGCGTTTATTTTAGCATGAAATTATTTAATGCTTTGTATAATATATAATATTTCTGGATGAATGTATAAAGATTTGTACGAATACAAATTTACAATAATCATTCTCTAATGCCTTATTATTTGCATTCGTTATATAGAAGAACTGGAATCCCAAAAGGAAGAAGCGATGGATGTGGAAGAGGATTACGCAGCCGTTATGTCTGATCCTGCTTTTCTGCAATCGGTCCTGGAGAACTTGCCAGGTGTAGATCCGCATTCTGAAGCCGTACGCCAAGCCGTTGGATCGTTACAACAAAACAAAGATAAAGAGAAAGAGAAAGAGAAGGAGAAAGACAAAGACAAAGACAAAGACAAAGACAAAAAATAAATGGCTTCTTAGTACACTGATATTTACACTTGTGGCTAAATTTGACATTTTCCATTATTATGTATGATATATTGTAGCTATTACATCTTGCTTATGAAATATATTATCAATTTATTGAAAAAGCCTAACTTAGTTTTAGTAATATCGCGCGCGCAATTTGAGTCATTTGAATTGGCGTTTTTAACAGTACCAGTCTGCCAAACTGGTGCGATTAATAATTAACATTATGATAATATATATTGTATTATTTAAATACACTTTTTTAAGAATTTCATTCTCTTGTGTGAATTTATTATTTTATTAGTTGTAATGACTTGACCAAATCCGATTAATTTTAACGTCCGTTTCTATCAATGTTAATTTAAACTCTCAATTCAATTTATTTTGCATCCTTTTTTAATTCTCAGAACTAGAAAAAGATGAATATATAAAGTTGAATCTAGATTAAATTAATCTACAATAGTAGAAACAGGCATAATTGATTCATCAGCAGAATTATTAAAAAAAAAATTTCTATCTATATAATTTCCTTGAATCTTTCTATTATAATGTTTCTTCAAAAAATTAATAAAATAATAACATTTAACAAATTAATACAGACATGTTTGGTAAGTGAATCAGATTTTAGTTCATACACTCCAAACGATTGAGATTTTAACCCACCAAACAAGAATGGATTAAAATGGATTGAAATTTTTTTCTATCCGAATGCGTATTTTATATAAATAGCAAATACTTTTTTTGGATTCAATTGGATTCAATTAGATGCAATTAGATTCAATTGGATGCAATTGGGTTGAAAAACTGCATTTCCTAAAAATTCAAAATTTTAAATTGAACAATATTCACAATTGTGTTTTTGTGCACAAAAAAAGCTAATATTATTTTTAGATTGAAAGACATAGAGATGCTCCATACAATTCCTATAAATACATTAAGGATTGAAAAGCATTCATTTTAACATTCGTGAATATTTCTGAAAATCTGAATCCATTTCAATTCATTTCAATCCATTCTTGTTTGCTAGGAAATATTCATTCACTGTCTAAAAGAGCGTGTATGTGTATGCACATACATGTCGCATCTGTATTAGTATGTATACACCTGTTGCTTCCCTTCGACCTGATTTCCAACGTTACGTGATCCGAAACTTAATCTAATGTTTCGTAACGTTTTGTAAAAGCACGTATCGTAGAGACATCGAATTTACGAGTCGCGTTTGCGTAATCGTAATTATCATAAATTCTCCGTCTCTTTTATAATTTGAAAGAAACGGTGGATTTCGCCGTTCGAATCTCGGTCCATGAAAATCCGTCAATTCACAAATGGCCGACGTCGGCATTCACGATAATCACGATGCGTTTTCTCGCCGCCAAGAAATTCGAATGACAAAATGGCGCCGCGAAGGAAGAGCATTCAAACGTCGCGCAGGTCGTTGAACAATGTCTGCTACAAGGAGAACAATTATTTGTGCTGCCTGAACGACTATCAGACGAGGGTTCGCAGGCGGGAGAGTCTTAGATATGCCAGAAGTCACGCGGTGAGTTCAGATCGACGGATCGCCCAGGATGTCATGATCTCGTGACCGGCGTATCCGTTATGACTTGTCTTTAAAAAATCACTTTGCGTTTTGCCTCGTGGAAATTTTCCTAATTCGATACTCGCAAGTTCAACAGATGACTTAGATTCTTTCCTGAAACTCGCTACTCGTCCTAAAAACGTGTTTGACGAACAAGTGATATGATTAATAGGTTATGCTTGGCGGATTTACGTGGATTTACGAGACACCCTGTATTTCTATATTCCAAAAAATTACTATAAAATTATAATGGTGTCAAAATTAATGTCATTCACGTAAGATCCTCGACCAAAAAGAAATGCAATTGTAGTATTTTTACGATAGGTTTGTTTTTTTTATTCCTATTCTAGACTGCATTCTAGAATTCTTTTTCGCTTATGTTATGTACCGAACATATATATATATATATATATATATATATATATTTCATTTTAAGTGCAATTAAAGAGTGTATCAGTTCAGCTGTAAAAACAGACCTTTTATATCTCAGTATCTCAATATTTGAAAAAATGTATAAATGTATAATTGAACATTTTTCCAATATAAATTGATAGCTACAGAACACTATTATTTATTACATCACTGTGTCAATATAAATACAAAATAACCACGTGGTTATTATGGACAATGAAGCAACTAACAACTGTAAATAATAAGTGTTCATATTGCTTGTACTTTTTGCATTCGAACTTTCTCTCTCTCTCTCTCTCTCTCTCTCTCTCTCTCTCTCTCTCTCACTCTCTTCAACGCTCTAATAGATTTCGTTTTAAATGCAAAATTTTCAAGAATTTTAAGAAACATAAATAAACCTAATAACGTTTGACGAGAAGCGAGATGAGACACAATGAAGCACAACAAGTATTATTTGATACATTTGTAACGCTTCAGTAAGCAGCGTTGCTGTATCGTATAGATAATTAGTTGATAATTGCTGTAACCACGCGCGACAAAACGTAAAAGTCAGCGGATGCTGTCTGCGTGGGCGATCCTCTTCTTCTCCCTCTACTCGCCCCGCTCTCTCATTCAATCTATTGTCGGTAGCGCCGGTGGTCTCCCCTCTCCCCTCTCCCCTCTCGCCAGTCGTCCTGGCAGATTTTGCCGCGTGTGGTGTGGTGCGTTGGTGCGTAGCGCTGTGGTGCGTCTGTTGATGCTTACACAGTGCCGAACAGCCGAATGGTCGAGCGTCATTCAGTATTAGTCGGCTTCTCCTGGAGACCCGGACGGTTCTCCTCTCGCCTCTTTTTCTCCCTCTTAATTTTTCCCTCCGCGACGCTAGATATTCATTTCTCACGTCAGCAGATTATTTTTGTTCGATTAATCTTTTAATTACCGTGTGCGCGATCTCCGTCTCTAGTCCGATCTAGTCGTGCGGCAAGCGGTTAATTTTGTTAAATCTCATCATCAATTGTCGCTCTTTTTGCATGACAATTCTGGACCCCACGTGGCGTGGAGAATACCCTCATTGTTCGAAAAATCAACGGAGGATCCGTGAAACCGAAACGTGAAAGTGAACAAGGAAGAAGAAGACGTCCCGCTACTTTTTCCACTCGATGGTGGTGGATCACAGCGTAGACTATTGGGCGTAGACGACCTACCACCGGAAACGGGAAAGAGGAAATTTGATGGTGAAGCGGGCAACAAGGCGAGCGAGTTGAGACTTTGAGAGGCAAGAACGGCGTGTCTCTTGTTTGTCGCATCGCGCGGAGGCGCAATGCCGTCACGGCTTATTTTGTAGCTAACGGAAAAACGTAGGATGACCGGATCTAAACCACGTCGTCGTACGTGATCGCTCTTGGCGCGACACTTGTCGCGTTCGTATTTGAAGAAGAGAAGAGGTCGAGCTAACACAGAAGGTTTTAATAGCGTGATAAATATTTTTCGTCGTTCTGTCTAAAATTTAGAGGTCAGAGAATTTACAGAAAGTTCGTGTACCGAACGGCAGAAGTGGACGGAGTATTTTAGAGGAAAGAGGCGTCTCTTCGTCTACCTTGACTCCAATCTTTCGAGGGAAAAAGCCGAAGATAGCCTTCTTTCTCCTTTTGTGTCCGTTTAAGACCTCGGGGTCAAGGCATCAGGGAATAAACCAGCAAGACTGCTCCGTGCAAAATTGTTCGCTATCTGACGGCATTATACACCGTGAAATTATATCTTTGGGAGAGGCGGAAGCATAATCTTGGACCATGATTGTCGATCTGCGACGATGCACCTTCGGTATCGATCTCGTTTGCAAGTCGTCGGAATTGAAATAGTCCTGGTGTATTCGATCAGTGGGTCGACACACAAATCAAACGAAGAGTAGCAACGTATCGACAAAAAAAGAAGAAAAACATAAAAAGATGAACTCCTGCTTTCCACATTTGGCGATATTGAATCCGCGGAATGCGAACAAATCGAGGGACCGGCTCAACGATGAGTGTAACGTCGTAAACGTCGAGGACATCCGGATGCGATCGAGGACTCCGACGTTATCGGGAAAGAATGACATTTTCCAAGACTTGGATTTGTATTACGTTCGACAGATCGCACGAAACTCCAAGGTAGGATCGCGATTAATGTTACTATTAATGTTCGATGACTCCGAAAATTCATTGCTGATTGTTTCACTGAGGACGAGAGATATCGTGTCTCTAAAAATACAGCAAAACGTTCTTTTTGTTTTCGAATCTTACGAATTGTTTACAACAAATGATTATTACAGATTATTTCGGTCAAGCTGCGAGTAACATGACAATAAAGCTCGAAAAATAGTGCTCCAATGAGAGAAAAATGTTTTGTATTTATGACTATAATTGCGTGGTAAAATAATTATGATTAAAAGCTCCACTTTTATAATTACTATGTTGTAACATTAGTAATAATAATTAGTTCTACATGTTAAAAAATAATCATAATCATTTTGGATGCCAAAATATATTTCTTGATAAATGTAGAAAATAAATATTATCATTACGTGTAGAAATAAATATTATTATTACATGTGAAAAATAAATATTATTATTATTATATATTAGAGAATAATATAACTACATAAGAGCTTCTAATCACAATTTTACAATACAATTCGGTATAATTATAAATATGACGAAACACTTTTCTTTCATCGTGCAATATGTCGGAGAGAATTATTAACTTTTTATTGCTAAACACATGGAAAGAAAAATCCGATTAGAGAAAGAGAGAGCAAATTATATAGCAATTATGTCGGTTGAATTGGTCGCCGATTAAGTTGATCGGTACTTAGTCAAAGTCACCCTTGAATGTTTAATTCACGTCAAATATGTGCGAAGGGGAGTTGAGTTATTGTACGTGAGTGGCTGCCAACATTTCCTCGCGTTCGTTGTTCGTATTTTTAGACGTCGCATGTGGACATCACTTCGGTCAGACATACGGATGGTGAACGTTGTGAACAGATTTAAAATCTCAATCTCGAAATCAACGGATACAATTTGCACAGCAAATAGATAGTCTTGATGAACATTTTATGATGTATCAAATATTTATTACTCATTTCTATTACCTATATATCTCTTACCGATTCATTACCGATCTAATACCCATTGGTTTTACGATTCGCGGACATGAAGTTGTTGCATCTTCAGCAGATTCGTGCGTGAAAGGAAGATGAACGGGCGTCGCGTGCAGTGACCATTACAAGCACACAGGGTATTGGATTTCTGGTGACTATTTTCGGCAGACAAGCAGTCGGGAAAGTGCCGACGACGCGGGAGAAAGCGATATTAAGAGGGAAACACGTAGGAACATGAGGGACAACAACGAGGGATCGAAGGAAACTGAAATGAAATTACGTACATACAAACAGAACATACAACTGAAGAATGTTTCGTGCTTTGTTCACGTCGACGACGCGTACTTAGGTGTATTCATAATCGGATCTTATATTTGAGACCGTCTTAAGTACAGTTTGAAGAAGTTTCATGAACCAATCGGAAGGCTGCATTAGTGTCTTAAGAGGAGCGACGGCTGAATTTGATCGATGTCGATAAAACAGATTTTTAATTCCAAATGAAATATTACGTACAAGAAAATGTTACATACATTAATTAAAACATTATGTACATTAAGCAAAATCATTAAGTAAAACGTTACGTACGTTTCTTGCTCTGCTGTATTCTATATATCATTTGAATGTGAGATTATGATACTCTTATAAATTATTATTATTACGGAAAAGTATTTTTTGTTTGGATATATGCTTGCATTCATTTATATATATCTCGTAAAAAAAATGAAAATTTTTCTCATAATTTTTATACGAATTGGAACATTTTTCAGGAATACTCAGAAATATTCGGAAAGTTTACATCTTCTTTCAGAACTTCTCATACAAGTGAATTCTGAAATATTTTGAAATTTTTCATTCTATAATTTTTAAAAAGTATTTTAAAATTTTTTAGATTTTATAACATTCCATCATAAATTATACTTACAAAAAATCTTAAAAATCTTACGATATTTCAAAATTAACATATATGAAAAATTCTGAGAAAAGATGTAGATTTTCTGAGAAATGTTTCAATTAAAAAATGTGAGAAAGTTATAAAATTATAGAGAAATTCTGATAAATTATATAGAAATTCTAAAAAATTATATGAAAAATTCTGAGAAAAATTTTCACCAGGGATGTAACGAAAGAACCTACACGATTACAGAAAACTAATTTATAATTTTTTTTTGTGGATTTTCATACCGGTTTGGACTTTTCCGAAGATATTTACGTTTTTTTCTTTCATTCTGAAGGATTTTGTATTCTGTGTAAGGAAAACGATATTATTTGAGAAATACGAAGTAACGCTCCGTTGGTAACTCCAGCATCCCCTTAAAACATTACTTAACGGTCTCGAAATAAGAACAGACTATGAATACTGTCCTTAATGTGTTCTGCGCGCGATGTAGTGTGCTCAAGGAAAAAATCCTGAGGGAAAAATCGAGAGAGAGAATACACCCGCACGCATAAATTGTATTACATCATATATTTACGTGAACTCGTTCGTCGCACGGCGCGCTTCGAGTTTCATCAAGACTCGTTACAGCACTGGCGACAGAGGTCAGGGATTAAATGTGGTCGCGGTTGCCCTTGCGTCGTTGCAAAATTCCTATCCGAGACGACGGAATATACGTGGATATATTCTTGATAGACTGCATCGCGGACCATACCGAGCATAAGGATGTGTCATGATAACGTTAGCGGAATACGAAATCGCTCGATGCGTGCAATGAATCATCTCTCGCATTATTGATTTTACTGATGCGTGCGTTATTTTCGGATCATACGCTTCATTCGGACATCACAGGGAATTAACAGATGTGTGTTAATAATGCGACGAGAGAAAAATCTCAGGAAAGGAAGATTTGACATTTAATGCATCTTACATAATGTAGATATGTTGAACATTTTCTATAAGAGAGATATATAAAAATAATAAATATAAATGTGAAGGCTATAGGAGTCAACGCTGGTTGTAAATATAATATTTTAATAATACATTAATACAAAAAATTGTAACATTTGAATTCAATTTTGAGTCATCTTGAGCCTACACCTCTTAAATATAACATTGCATTGCAAATCAATATTCAAATTTCTTGAATGTGGTCGTCATAGAGCAAACGTGAGACCGTATTCCAATATTAGTAAATGTCCAATAAGAGAGAGAGAGAGAGAGAGAGAGAGAGAGAGAGGAGAGAGTTTCAAAGCTGAATGGTTGTAAGAACTCAAGTTCACAAATCCAGAACGGCCACAACCAGTTAATAATCATTGTAAATGAAGTCAATAACTTCTTTCTCGTCACGCATTAAAATTTAAAAGATTGGACATTCTGGAATAACCAAAACACGTCTTGTCGATTTAACAAACAGTCAAATAATCAAGATATAATATTTAATATGATGACATAAGAGAAAAAATTGCAAAAATTAATTCTTCGAACGTAGGATTCTTCCTAGCACATTTCATAGGGACAAATGGTGATCTCGTGCAAGCCGACTATAAAACGTTAGCCATGGATCGATATCCCGTAATGTTAGCGTTGGTTTCCCAAGGGTAGGAAGGAGGAGCACACAAGCGAGCCAATTTGTCGAGGTGAACGTCACCCCTTCGTACATTCGCCCACTTCCTCGAAGAGTCGTTATTTCAGTCCGTTTCTGCGTTCTGCTACTTACTAGCCAGCGTCGCGAGAACCGCGCCGATTTATTTACGCTTTCGTGAAGTTTGTTTCTTGCCTTGAAGTGGAATTTCCATTCACCTGGCTCGTATCGTGCTCGATCGACTACGCAAACGCGACTGTGCTTTTTTACATGTCGAAATCTCAAAAACGAACGAGCGAGAAAACCACATTCTCTCAGGTTATTGTATTATATATGTATATTGAGAAAAATATCTGCCCCGAAATTGTTGAAATTCTGATTAACAATGGATGAATCAGAATTTTCTGAAATCTAGTTGAGATAACCGGACTTCTAATTGATATTTTTCTTAGTATATATACTGATATATACTACGTCGATATTAATTGTCTGAACAATACGTTATTACATCGGTGATTCTTCAGACTATTCTTAAAATTAGTGTGACAATATTAATATTAATCAATTAACGTAATTATTATTTCTGAAATTAATTAATTTATTTGAATATATATATATATTAAGTTCAACATCTCAACACTCAGACCATAGTGGCGCTTCGAATTTTAAAAGTAATGTTATTTAACATAAAACGGTCTTGTTTCCTATCTTATTGTTAATCAATTAAATTAAATTAATTGTTAAAAACTCCTTTTATTAATACAATAATAATAAATATAAATGTGAAGACTATAAAAGGCAACGCTGATTGTAAACATACGTAATATTTTAATAATAAATTAATCCAAAAATTGGGACGTTTCAACTCAATTTTAAGTTGTCTTTAGCCTATATCTCTTAAACATAACGCTACTAATTTGAAATATTGCATCGCAATATCCAAATTTCTTGAATGTGATCGTCATGGAGCAAACATGAGACAACGAGCCGTATTCCACACAACATTAATGAATGTTGTCCAACAACAGAGAGAGTTTCAAAACTGAGTGATTATAAGAATTCAAGCTCACAAAAACCAGAACCAGTTAATAATCATTATAAATAATAATCATTGAAGTCAAACATTTTTTTTCGTCACACATTAAAATTTAAAAGATTGAATATTCCGGAATAACCAAAACATGTTTTGTCGGTTTAACAACAGTCAAGTTGTCTCACATTTGCTCCATAACGACATTCAGGAAATTTGAATATTTGATTTGCGATGCAATATTTCAAATTAGTAATATTTCAAATTATTAGGTGTTGGAATTAATTCGTAGCGTTTTTAATGAAAGAATGTTATTTATTTCACATGAGCATTAAAAAATACATTAATGAAAGTACTTCCCATCACTTGTAAAACGCTACGAATTAATTCCAACACCTAATATATTTAAGAGATATAGACTAAAGATGATTCAAAGTTGAAACATCCCAATTTTTGTATTAATTTATTATTAAAATATTACGCATGTTTATAATCAGCGTTGAATCCTATAGTCTTCACATTTATATTTATTATTTTTGTGTGCATTACAATATTAGTTTCACAATTCTAAACATAAATATAAATTATTAATGCCATAATGTATGTATAAAATAATTTTTAATACTTTAACAATAATTTGAAGAAATAATCGATGGAGGGACGCAGACAATTGTCCAGACAATTAGTTTCGTGATTATTTACATGCTTGTTTATAAAACATACACAATTTGAAAACCCTACAATTCTGAGATACCCTATTCGGAATCGCGGAGTTTTCAAATTGTACGCTTTACAAGTCGATCTATAGACATCTCAGGAAGACCGGTAAAATGAGTAAAACGATTCGTTCGCAAAATGTGTAAGACGTTTCGTTAGGTATGTAACCCGATGCCATGAACGCGTGATGGGGCTACGTGCTGGCCAACCACTCATTTTATCGCTGACACTTCGATTTTTCTTCGATCGTAACTATCGGTCGCTCCTTCCTTTTTTTTTTCTTTACATATTCAGCACCATGCGAGACACCGGTGCAAAATTATATTTCCTATAACCATATGCGAGTTGATGGTCTCTTGAAATAACTCTATTTAAAATTTAAATGATTATTCCGACGAGATTTTCTAAATCGATGATGCGCGAATTGATTGTTAAAATACCATGAATAATGTTGCAGGAGCATGACTTGGAGCAGAAGATCGAGGTGGAAATCAAGATGAGAGAAGGCTCGGCGAGACTTTTGGCGGCTGCAAAGCATCGCGCCCAGAGCTTAGAGGCCGCCAAAGCATTGCTTACATCTAACGAGAGGATGTCGGTTTACATGGCGGAATTGCAAAGCCGCCGCCGCGAATCTTCTAAACAATCCTGGTTCGTTCATACGCTTGTTTTGTCATAGAAATAATAAGAAGAGATATCCAATATATTTCCTATATATGACAATTTTAAATAACAAATGTTTCATCCTTATACTACGATCTTTTCAATATTGATCGTATAACTAAACACAAATTCTAATTTACATCATACAAGTAAAAACATTAAAACAGAATAAAAATTACAAGTTTAGTAAATTTATACAATTTAAATCATCTTGATTTGCTATCATTTCTTCATAGTTTATCTTATACAAATGAATATCAAATTAAAAGAGAGTTTATAATTTAGTAATAATTACGTCAACGCGTGTGTTTCCAGTATTTCTAGAAGTACGGGAAAGTTGTCAATCTCGGATCTTAGGATACCGTTAATGTGGAGAGACTCTGATCACTTCAAGAATCGCGGTGATCATCGTCGGTTCGCCGTATTTTGCTTAGCACGATTGGGTACAGAAATCCATGACACTTCCTTATTATGCCCCATTGATAGAGCTCATACGGATCTCAGCTTTCCCGATGTCTTATTATTGTAAGTTCCGATAATTAATCCTTTGAGACAAGAACAAGTTAAAGTTATTTGTAATCATGTTACTCAAAGAACATGCATAACAATTTTATAATTGTCAATTTTTGTGTCTATTTTCAGTAATAATGTGCCAGCCGAATTTGAGTTAATTTTAGAAATCTATAGCCATGTTTTGCAAGAAGACTTAAGTATCGCCAGCACGCCGAGAAGAATTAAAAAGACTATTCACTCGTCGATTTCGAAAACCGTCGGCAAGAAGCTCGCTGCTTCGCTTCGTGATGAATTCGGTTCTGCCAAATCGTGAGTTTCTGCTTTCATAAATATATAAATTAATTGAGCTTCATTCATAAATATTTTGACTTTTATATACTTTCTTTTCAGTGGACCGTACTTTGATTTAGTAGCTCGTGCTAAACTGACCTTAGACGACACGGATGATAATACTCACACGCACGACCTTGTTATTAATAGCATCGGTAAGTTGTGCGAGAGTTCGGCGAATTTCTCGAAATACTTATATCATGATTCTTTCTTCAGAGAACAAATATCACTCCCTGCCGCTTTTCGGTCACTTTTGCTGTCGATTGGCGGTACAGCCAGAATCCATTAATAAGGAAATGTGCATTGGTAATGTGAAAATTGATGATCAAGATTATTGGGCACGTCTGCAAGGATTTTATATAAAAATATGGGAATCAAAGAAGCATGCGGAAGAAGGTCAAAATCCGGAACACATAATATCTATTAATAAAGTTAGTTGACATTTTCTTATAGATCTCTTACATAATTGCACTGCGTTATTTCATTTAAATAATTTTTTCTATTATTTGTATAGAGAACAATCATTCAACTGTCCAAAACTTCCGGCAAAGAAATTCTGATAAATAATTCTGGCAACAGTGTGGAAAAGCTGTTGTCAATTAAATTCGAATCAAAAGAGGAAGCTCAAAAATGGTCAAAACTCTTATTGGTACACATCAATGATCATTCGAGGTGGAAACACGCCGCGGAAGTTATTCAAAGGGTGTCTAGCATTGAAAGCACGAGAAATTCCTTTATCAGTAATAAAAGACAGGGTTCCTTATACGACGAGACACCTTTAATAGGTAAAAAATGCACAAGTTATTATGTAATTCTAAATCTATAAAACGATACTTTGGAATCTATCGAAGTAATTAATTTATTAATTATTATCTCTTTATTGTAGAATCGATCCCGGATTATTCATCCACAAGACCTACTGTACAAACGATCTTTGATCTCACACCTAGTACTAGTCTAAGCAGTTGTAGTTCCACAAATAGCCTAACAAGTTTACGTTCACGTTCACTGAGTATCAGCGGCGTATTTAAACAAGGTGCCATCTCTTTAAAGCCACACTTAGTTAATAAAAAAACGTAACGATTTTATAATTCTTTTCAAGAAGAATCATAAAGCCGAGTAATTATTACGCGAGAATAAGCTAGAATTTTTCAATTTTGACCTGAGATGTATACACTAAAATACTTTAATTGATAACTGAGAAGGAAAGTTCAATTAAACATAATTTCTCGGTTTAAAAATACATTGTCAGTACTGAAAATCACGTTATATAATAAATTGTACGTATACAATAAACCCAACAAGTAGCGTAATATAAAAGGAACGGCCCGGAGGAACAGCTCGGTATCAGGCTATTCCTCGCCCTGATAAAGTGGATTGCAAGGTTCACGAAACGTTGGCATTCTAATAGCGTTTTTCATTGGCAGAACTAGTGCGTACTCGGTGCATATTAAAGCTATTGTACACTATTCTAATCTAAATGTGAAAGTAAGATTTCAATTGATAAAATGCCACTGTGTATTTTATCAAATAACACAATAAAATGTATCGAATATTTCGCGGTTTAATTCGTTTCTATATTTTTATTAAACGTGCATCTTTACGTCGATTTATATACAATGGCTTTAAAGTGCACTGAGCGTGCACTAGTTCTACCAAAAACGTTATAAAAATAGATCTGGATACGTAGAAAAAAACCCGTAAAACGCATCTTTATATACAAAGCATCCGTGAAAGCCTCAAGAATATTATACAATAAATTTTCAGTATTAACAGTGTATATATATCCAAAAATATACCTTAATGCACTCTGTATTAACCGAAGAGACTTTTATTGCAAGGAAGATTTTAATACGGCTGAAAATGTAATATGTATCGATTGATATATAAATTCAATATGAAAAACTTGATATTAGATATAGTTATACAGTACAAATGACATTGATTAAACTATTTCTTATTTTTCTCTTTTCTACTTTTATAATGCGAAATCTTATATATCGCTAAAAGTACAAGGATAGTACTATAGTACCCTATAATGTCTTATTATAATGCGTTTAAGAGTTTAGAAAATATATGAGCATTGCAATATTTAGTATGGCTGTAAGAAGATATGCATATATATTTATATATATATATATATATGGTATATATTTAATGTAATAATAATAATATATAACTATATATAGTTACCTAAATACAATGTACTTTTTCAAAAACCTTGCAATTTTTGAATATACTTGGAAAGATTTCAACGCAGTTTATTGCAATATTACTTTTTTGTGTATACGATAAAAGATATTTTTAATGAAAATATCTTTTATCGTATACACAAAAAAGTCTATGACTTTTATCAATAATTGTAATTAGTTACATTTTTGTAAATATTTTTATTTAAAAATATTTTGACGACATCAACATAACAGAGATTATCCTAAACTACATACAAGGGATGTTCATATTAGGTATATCATACCCAATATGACCATGACAAGCCTAATACTATAAACTTGGTGTTGATTTATAAATTAACATATCAATTTCATTTTTTGGGCAGCATTATAAATCCTACGACCATGCAAACGATAGTAAATGCTTGAGCACCAACACGAGCACGCATCATATACTGTTGCATTTCTTTTTTTCCCTTATAAAAGTTGAAGAGTCCAATACTTAAGGCTGTAACAGTCGCGAATGCTCCTAGAAATACAAATGCAGAAAATAGCGTTGCATTAAAGATGACTAATCAAGTTCAATAAAACGCGGTTCTTTTGCACAGATGTACAAGTCTCTTTATTATTTTTATCCTGTTTTCTTAACTAAACATCTTCGCAGCTTCTTGTCTCACAGATCAGAAGGATTTGGTTCGATAAATTCTATCTCGGCTTACGGAATATAGGTTAGTTTACCTATCGGTACCAGAGGATTCTCTTGCGTTTTACGTTTCGCCTTCTGAAAAAATGTCTCGGTAATATAAGTGCTATCCAGATCTTCACGTATTTTCACCCAGTCCAATTCGTCATCCGGTTTTAAGTCTGCCATATCCGTCGGTCCGCGAAAAAAATACAGTCTCACAACAAAATCTGCGGCACCCGCGGCACTAAGTTCATATTAATGACCAGTATGATCACGTGCGAAAGAGCGTAGGTTAACAATTGATAATGATTACGTTAAATCGATAACATATCGGACAATGTATTCAATTGGACTTCGATGACACGATGAGAAAACTGCCTAATCTCTCCTTCCTCGCTAATCTTTTCCTCCGAGATCGTTCGAGATCAGTAACGTCATTCGATGTCCATGATGGAATACGTCAGACGATCTCAAGAAGAGAGAGAGTGACGTTCCGAATTGATGTTGCGAGTGTTACAACTGTTGCAAGTAACACAAGTGCGTGTGTAACAAACGCTCTCGATCGCTCGAGGAATTTTATACCTATTTTAGATCGTTCGATGTGCGGATTGGTAAACAAAAAAATGAATATGCAAGAAGTAGTGGAGGAGCTGACGCAGGTTTGCATTCAGATGCGCTTCCACCTGGATGATTTGGAACAGAGGGAAAAAGAAATATTAATCCTAAAACACATCAGACGCTTTGAAAACAGCGGAGCAACTCATGATTTCCCAAAAGGTACTGGCTCTCACAAAAAAGTTTCCTGCATTCTTCCTTATATCACTTCGCGAATAGCCAGTTTGAAATAAATGACAGTTATCTATTGCAGAAAAAAATGGCTAACAGTCGTCATGGTCATTGTAAATTATTATAATTTTTAGTATTTACCTATAAGCAGAACAATTAAGTCATTGTGATGACATCAAAATAGTTCCAAAATTATATTGAAGGTCACTTTTTAATTAGTAACAATTCATCATAAGTCCAGTTCTACTTGGATACTTTAAAAAATAAAAAGTAAAAAATTAATTAAAAATGGATTATTATCTGCAGGAAATGATCAATAATTATTATCGTTATAATTTTTAATGATATATATTATACAGGCTTGGAATGGTTTAACGTGACCGAAGGATTGTCGCTAGGGCAGCATCTAAAAGGAAAAATCGTGCTTTTGGACTTCTTTACATATTGCTGCATCAATTGCATGCATGTTTTGGCCGAGCTGGAAGAAGTCGAGAAGAAAATCTCTGTGGAGGATGGTCTCGTGGTAGTAAGTATAACATATTTTATTACAGGAAAGAACTTCTAGAAATTAAAGATATACATTAAATAAGATTTTGTCCGAGACTAATAATTCTTTTATTTAGATCGGAGTGCATAGCGCAAAATTTACAAATGAGCGCAGTTCGAAGAATGTCTTATCTGCTGTACAGAGATATAATATCACACATCCTGTGGTAAATGATGTAACGTTAAGAATGTGGCATGATATGGGAATAACGTGTTGGCCTAGCCTGATTATGTTAGGTATGAAACAATATATGATTCCTTTGCTTTTTTTCGTAACAGCTACATAATTTATACATATTTACACTATTTGTGAAAACTTCCTATTGTCACTGCTGTGATTTTAAATTCATTTCAGGACCTAATGGTCAACCACTGGCTGTTTTTGTGGGTGAAAATCACAAAGATGAAATACTATTATACACAAAAATAGCAATAGCTTATTTTAAATCGTTAAAACAAATGTCAAATCATGGTCTTCCACTAAAGCCAGCGCATCATCTTTTACCATCTTCTAAAGATGGTTTGCTATTTCCTGGCAAACTAACGGTTCTTCAGTTAGAACAAGAAACGAAGCTAGTCATATCTGATAGTGGTAACAATAGGATTGTAATTACAAATGAGCACGGGAGAGTGGAACACGTTATAGGAGGATGCAATCAGGGTTTTAAAGATGGCGATTTTAAAAACGCTAGATTCAATTCACCTCAAGGAGTCTGTGTGCTAAATAATATAATCTATGTTGCGGACAATAATAATCATGCTATTAGAAAAGTAAGTAAAAGTATCATTTTTTATTATTGTAGCACAACATTGATTCGCTGTATTTAATCTCGATGTTAATCACGTTTTAGATAGATCTGGCAAAAAGAATCGTATCCACCATAGCTGGTACTGGTTCACAAGGTTGCGATCGAAAGGGTGGAAAACACGGCACTGATCAAGCTTTATCGTCCCCTTGGGATGTGGCAATTTATCATCACGAGTATAAAGGCACCATGGTGCCAGTGTTGTTAATCGCCATAGCAGGTACCCATCAGATCTGGGCACTGTTTTTAGAAGATACCATTTGGTGGAAGGAAAAGTGAGATATTATTTATGTAATTAATATGACATCTTCACGTTACGCATTTTTAAATGTGATTTTTGAACATTTAATTTAATAATGAGTTTCAATTTTTTACAATTCACGCAGATAACGAAAATATACGTGAATGTCCGTATTTTAGAAAATACACGGCGGGCACTTGCGCTGCTATCGTTGGAAGTGGACGAGAGGAAAATCGCAACAACAGTTATCCTCATGCCGCGGGATTAGCACAACCCTCTGGCATTGCGATCGTTCAGGAATGTAAAGTTGCGTTTTTGGCGGACAGCGAAAGTAGTGCTATCAGACGGCTGCATTTAGATAGCGGACAAGTATCCGCTGTTTGTGGAGGAGATAAAAATCCAGCGGTTCGTTCAATAACAAATAGTTTTCATTTATTTTCTCACTAAAGCATTTATGTATATGAATAAGATAGCTTTAATCAATTTGTTCGATACGTAAACAAGCGTCAGCTTTCGTTCGAATAACAGCAGTAAATCAATGACGTTTATTTTATCAGAATTTTTAGAATCACTTTGCATTGTAGAATTTACATTCGTTTGGAGATGTAGACGGAAAAGGACATTTGGCTAAACTTCAACATCCATTAGGCGTAACATGGAATCATTTGGATAAACGAATTTATGTGACCGATACTTACAATCATAAAATTAAAAGCATAGATCTTACGACGGAATATTGCAAAACATTATTTGGCGACAAAAAACCCGATCATACATTTACCGTAAGTATATTTTTTGAAGAAACATCAATTTATAAAAAAATGTTTGCAAAAATTAGTTAAATTGTTAAAATCTTTTAGTTCAATGAACCGAGTGGCCTTGCTGTTAGTCCAGACGGTAACATTCTTTACATAGCAGATACCAACAATCACGCTCTTAAAATTATTGATCTAAAAAATGAGAAGATTTCAACTGTAAGTATATTTTTCTAGAAGTCTAACAGAATCACTTTAAAAATATAACTTTGTTTTATGAATCATGAAAGATTAACATAAACTTCCTTAATTTTATTTTTCAGATGGCTATCGTATCCAGACGTGACTCGAATAGAAATACTGACAATGTATTCACTTTTGATACGACAGTAAATGTACGCGGTGGAGAACTAAATATTTCATTTAATATCATATTTACGAACGATTTGAAATTAAATGCAGACGCACCGCAAGAATGGCAGGTGTTTTTACCTGTAAATACGTGGACGGCGAAATCATTGACGGGTAGACTTTCAACTCCTATATCGGTGAAACTTCCTGAAGAAGAAACGCGCAATCAATTACCCGTCACATTAAACATAATGGCTTGCACAGTGGACACGTGTGTACCATTAAAGCTGTCGGTATTGTTCAACGTACAACGTAAAACAGATGCGCCAACAGTTGTGACTGAAGAAAAAGAACTCGTTATCGGTTAGGAAATGCATTTTATGCTTTCATATGTCGAAAAGTGTAAACACGTTGTGTAATGAATATTTTTAAGATATTACATTTTGGAAATATGTATTTAAAATAAGTATGTTTGCGGCGATAATTTTAATATAATAGTTATACTGTTATATATATATTCTATATAATTGTACATGTTACTTATTGTATTAATTTTTAATTGCCTCAATCTATATTTTTTTAACTTTTTGATTATTGCATTAAGCACAATTGTGTTAATTTTTATTCATCATGTCAGCGGGCGAGTAATCTCTGGCAAATTTTGTCAGTCTTAAATAGTGTAATTAAAACAAGAATTAATTATGATATTTCATTATAATATTTTATAATATATAATTATATTATTTCATTAGAATATTTTATATTATATAACTATATTATTCTTAATTGTTTAAAATATTTGTACCTTTGCCACCAAATTCCCGCTTCGTCATCTTGCGAGACATGCGGTAACGTTGCAAAATCAGCTGTTCCCGATTGCCAATATTCATGCAACCATTCTTGATGGCCAGTTGGCTCTACCCAGCCTTTTCGGCAATTGTTTTCTATCCATGCTCTTTCTACCATCGTTGGAATCTTGAGCACCTTTGTAATTTATTAAATTTAAATCTACATTTGTCCTTCACGAGAATGAATAGATATTTATTGTTTACATCTTTATCACTGCCGAGAGATATCTTTACTTTTTTGTGATCGCGATACGACGTTATGCAATTACTATCTGGATCGAACATTCCAGCACCGGTATCGTAGCACAACGGAGGAATAATTTTAGTGGGCTGGTCATTGGTTTTCAGTATTTGTCCGGCTGGTTTCAGTCCATTCACCACGCATTTATAAAATCTGAAATAATTTTACTATCCATGAATACGTGGAATTTTCGTTTAGCTGCTATGTTAAGAATCTAATGCTAACCGCCTATCGGGATATACGCAATAATCCCAATCGCTTTCTCGATATGATAAACCGTCTGCGAACGTATAGCGTCTTTGCTCCATTTTTCCGCGATTCCAAACAGCATCCATTCTTTGCCCACATGGCCAATACATACTTCCACGACCATGAAGCATGCCGTTTCGGAATTCTCCCTCTAACACGACTTCTGATAAACAAGAATAGAATTAATCAGCGCTAATTAGATGCGATATTATGATTCTACATGGAAAGAACAGTTTCCGAATTTATGTCATTTTTTGGTCATAATAAAAAATGACATAAATTCGTCAATTCCTCAAATCGATTACTAGAATGTTAAAATTTTTTGTAATATCCCTGGTGAACATTTTTCTCAGAATTTTTCATATAATTTTTCAGAATATATTTCTTTCTAATTTTATAACTTTCTCACATTTTTCATACAAATTGGAATATTTCTCAGAAAATCTACATCTTTTCTCAGAATTTTTCATATATATTAATTATGAAACATCGTAAGATTTTCTAGATTTTTTGTAAATATAATTTCTGATGAAATATTATAAAATCTAAAAAATTAAAAAATACTTTTTAAAAATTATGGGATGAGAAATTTCAGAATTCACTTGTATACAAAATTCTGAGAGAAGATGTAAACTTTCCGAATATTTCTGAGTATTTCTGTTCCAATATGTTCTGTTCCAAAATTATGAGAAAAATTTTCACAAGGATATTCATCATATTTGAGCCTCCTAATTATTTTGGTCCAACAAAATTATTTTCAGATTGTTATCTGTTTAAATTTATTATAGATACTTTAGCAAAATCATTCTTTCCATATAGAGATCCTAATTCCGTATTGCGTTTGAGAAATGTTAACTTTTGAAAAAAGTCTAAATTGATTAACCGTAAGGCGTGACATATCTGCCGATGCCTGTCTTATCGATCGCATTCCACGTTCCTTCGTATTTGCTTCCGGTGACAAATTGAATTTCTCGCAACATTTCTATTTCGTCTGCCTTTTTGTCATCATTTTCCATCGTCATGCTTGACGTGATGCGTCACGCTTCTGTAGCTGTTAAGATTGACTCCAATTCCGTTTAATCGTCGATCTAGTTAATCAAAATTTAGTTGGAGTAGCTCTTAGGGTAATTACGAGTCAAGTTCCGATTAATTTAATCGGCGATCAACTTATCACGTAATACCTGTCATTCCGTTAAGTAGGACAAGTGGAACATTATTAACTTTTTACTACTTGACGTACATATATGGAAATAAAAGAAAAAAGATTAAATTAGGGACAAGCAACTGCATAGTTGAAAATTTTCTTTCAACCGTTCCGTGCTATTAATTCTATCGGTTGGATTAATCGCCGATTAAGTTAATCGGAGTTCGCGCCCTAAGTGCTGCGAGGAACTCGATCTCCTCTTTTTATCGCTTATCGCGCCACTTTATTATCATTGGCTACGAAGATTCGCACGGCCGAGATGAATGGAAAATGAATCGAGACCGAACGGCGAACGCGCCCGAATGTCTCGAATCGGTTTCTCCTCCCCAAGCAACCGAACCGGGACTCGGTTTTATCCTTACAGGATGGCCTCGTTGCCTGGTATTCCGGATGATCTCGGTCGGCTCGTAGTCGCCGGGGACATGCATGCGAACGGCGTGCAAACTGCGTGCAAACGGCATGCGGGGACACGCGTGTGTCGAATGGCGAGAGACCCGACACTCCGTCGTGCGTTCTTTCTTTTTTTTTCCCCTCGTCTTTATCCTCTCTTTATATCCCGCGCGCGTAACTAAATCAGATTTCGGAGGCGATGTACGTAGTATTCGTAACACGACCGGACACAAAGGTGGCGAGGAGACACGAGGAGAGGACCGTTATGTCTCTCGCCGTATATTTCTATGAGAAAGAGAGAGAAAGGGCGCGACAGAGAGAGAGAGAGAGAGAGAGAGAGAGACCTCGGTGTCTCTACATCGTGCCGCGCATATACTACTGTTATATGTCGAAAAGTGGTACATTCCGGTATACATCGAGGAATATATTTCTCAAGTTTTCACGCGCACGACACCGCCGCGCCGGCCGGTCGGGATATCGCGTGAGATGCACGTCGCTTCGCGCGATGAACCTCGATCTGTCCGTCTAAGATTCGTCCTCTCGACATTTTCGCAACCTCGTGAAACGCGGCCGAGAAGATATCACGCAACATCGTGACCGTCAAAGAATAGTAGATAGAGCAGATCTAGGCCGGTTTTATTTTAAGAGTATCTCAAATATAACAGTATCTTAAGATTTAGTTTTGATCCACGATCTTGCTTTAAGAGGTCATACATACAATAATTTCTGTCTTCAAATTGTTTTTGCGCAATCTTTAGGCTTTATCCGTTAGGCTTAAGTGTGAATTCCAATTCTTACGGTCTAAAAGTATAAAAAAAGTATAAAAAAATCTAAAAGTTTTAAAAAATATAAATATATAGGGCTCTCGAAATTAAAATACAATAATTAAAATTATATGGACATTAATTAATTAATTAATTCACATAATATATTGGTCTACCATGTTGATATGAAAAAATTTCCTTGAGCGTTTCGGTTTACTTCAAACCATTTTCAGCAAGTGAAAAATGTTAAATCGATACGCTCAAGGAAATTTTTTTGTATCGACATGATAGACCAATCACTGTTAGAAATGTTCTTAAATTTTATTAAAGTTTAAGTTACACAATTTTTAACCACGAGCTTCCTTTACATGTAAATGAAGCTCGCGGTTATGAATGAAATTAAAAGTAATGAATGATTTAACTGGAAATTAAATTACAGTAATAACTTAAATGTAATGAACGTGTACATTAAATTTATGAAATTTAATGTACTTTTTATAAAATTTTATTAAAAGTACATTAAATTTCATAAATTTAATGTACACGTTCATTACATTTAAGTTATTACTGTAATTTAATTTCCAGTTAAATCATTCATTACTTTTAATTTCATTCATAACCGCGAGCTTCATTTACATGTAAAGGAAGCTCGTGGTTACATTTCTAACAGTGTAACATTTCATATTACGTGAATTAATTGAATTCTTGATATAATCGCGCACCAATTTCCGCGCTCTTATTGCCCATATATTTTTCATTATTGTATAAAAGTTCTGTGGCCTATATATCATCACTTAGAACTTATAACTTACAACTTACAGCCTCTTAAAGCAAAGTTGCGGACTTGAGCACAGTTTTAATTGGCTTATAACATTTCGAGACTGTACTTAAGACGGTCCCAGATATAAGAATCAATTATATATATATATCGATCCTAAAGCACTCGTGTGAGAGATGAAATACGATTAGTATCGACCCGATGATCCTTCCAACTCGCATCGTACGGTCGAATATAAAACGAGGTACGATCGCGCGTAAGCGTGAAAGATCTCCGACACTTTACGCGTCGATTAACATTCCAATTATGAGGTCCGATTATAATTCGCCGTGCTCAGAGAAGACGGCGATATTACGCCAGCCGTTTCAGGACGATGCTCCCTTGGGAGCAACGATTCCAGGCTTATACGTAATCTGGAATGTTAGCTCAGCCGAGCGTGACACCTCTGCCATACCGCTGGAGAATCTCTCACGCACCTGAGAATTTCTCGTAGGTGCACCGGCGAACTTACATTTCTTTTCTCTCTCTCTCTCTCTCTCTCTCTTTCTTTCTTTTTCTCCTGTTTCTACCTGATCGTTATCGCGTTCGCGTACGCGCCGAAGGGAGATACGTTCCCCACTGTCGGAATTGCAACGAGAATCGAACGAAAGCTGGAAATAATCGCGGATCTCTTGCCGGTGAACGGAAAAATGAAATTTCAGGATAAAGACGGATATCGAATCCATATCGGTCCACCTACGAATTCGATCGTAATCGTCGATCGTCGCGCGACGTGAGAACTGGTGAGAACGGCGGTGTCGAGGAAATAGGTCGGATTTACGGAGCGAGATATCGGCGCTCGTTCTCGCGTTCCCCTTTCCCGTGCCGCTCCTCGCGAGGGTCTCCTTCCCCCTCCCTCCCCTCCCCTCCCTCCCCCCATCGTCAAATTTGTCGATAGGTAAACCGTTGGATAAACCTTAATCCGGCGCGGCCTGGCGCGGTACCGTTGTCTTGGTAAACAGTGGGTTACGGATGGACAGTCGTGCAAGTGGGACGGCTGTTTATTAACCCGCGCGTGTTCGACGTTCACAGAAAACTTCAAGCAGACGTAGAGTCGCGCGAAGAAGCGAGAAAACGGGTTTCTCGCGAGCCCGTCCGTCTCCCCGACAGCGCGATCGCTGTCAAACTTAAGTCTATCGTTTTTCGCGGTTTCACCTCGCTCTGCTGTAACCTCAGAGCGGCAATCATGTATAATTTCTTCTCTACACGGAAAGAACGGTTTTGCTGAATTATCTAAAAATTTAGAGATCCGGATAGAGATCTGAGAAAATAATTTTGTTCAATCATTAAAATAATTACGAAATCTCAAGCATGACGAACGATATGCCGCAAAAACGTTTGAACGTTCTAAGCAATCAATTTGAGCGTTTTACATAATTATTTTCTGTATCTAGTTAAATTTTTAGATATTTCAGCAAAATTATCCTTGCTGTATAAAAATTAGTTAGATCTAAATATAATTTTGTTGAATCGTCGAAATAATTATGTAAAAATCTCAAGCATCTCAGATAGCACAGAGTTCAAGAAGAATTCAGTTGTCCATCAATTTAGAATTCATTTTCAAAATTAGAAAAAAATCCTTTTTCTAAACAATTCTGAAAAGAATTCTTTTTGCATCTGAAAATGAACTCGGAATTGATGACATACGACTGATTCTTTTTGAATTCTGGGATGATGCTGTATAAAGTTTGGATATTTTAACAATCAATTTGAGCGTGTTACATAATTATTTTGATAATCCAAAAAATTTATTTTCAAATCTGTATCTATATACAGGGTGTCTCTAAACTTCG